TTAGGTTATGGTCTTCCTCTGCAGACCAGACAATGTTCTTCTGTAATTGTCTTCACATCTAGACTGAAACCCTGGTTTTATTAGCTGCCTTTTGGTGCTCTGTGAGGCTGGGACTGCTTTTATTCCCTTGTATAAAATGTTTTTATTGCTTTTGGATTGAACTCTTTATGATTTGATGTCTTTAAATCACTTTGGCTGGCCTTGTGCTGATTTTAAAGTGCCATAAACAAAGGTTGGTTTGTTGGTATGACCCTGACCTCAGGTGAAGGCTGGAGCGGTTGATCTCAGAACTGCAGATCCATTGGTCCATCCCATCATTACACATAGAAAAACACAGAGATCTCAAACTTTGTAAACTTTAGAAACATCTAGGATGTCTCTTAGCCGCTTCTGGGTTTTCATCTTCAACCACAGATGTGAGGATAAATCCACACAGCTCAGAGATGATGTGGGTTTAAAACCCGTCCCGGTGATGACAGTGGGCCGACTGGTGGCTGAAGTTGGGGGGCTTGTACCTCATAACCATGCTGACATCTTCATCTGGTCAAAGCCAAATCTTCTGATGCCAAACTGACAGCTTTACAATGTGTCTTTAACTCTATTGCTGGGTATAGCCACCCTGAACTGGGCGTGCCCTGCGGGGTCACCGCCCGAGGACATCCCGATCCTCTTCTGTGTGGTCCAGGATGATGCAATAGACTCCTCGCCCTCCCTCGATATCAGGAGTGCTGGAATGGAGAAGTTGATTTGGGGGGTGGGGGGGGGTGGGGGGTGTACGGGACTCCCTGGTTGCCAAGTGAACACCATAAGGGCAGCTCACTGGTGTTACTGAGGTCCCGGGGCAGTTCCCAGAATTCACATGATAATGAAGCCCGGGGCCATTCACAGCGCTGGCCTAAAGCTGATGCTAAGAGCTTTTGATAGCACCCAGCAGCCTGTAGGCCTGCCCACCCCCGTCCCAGCCAGCTTTCCTGCCAGGCACTAACCACCTGTTTGATTTTCCCAGGGCCCTGCCACAGCGGAGGGACAGAGGAGAAAGAGGGAGGAGGGGGGAGGCGAGGATGGCCAGCAAAGGAATGTCTCCTAATTTTGTCACTGAGTGTGTACTTCCCATTCACTTCCTCTTTATAATCCCAAAGCCCACCCCTCACGTGCATGCACACTCACACATACACACATATATAGAGAGGCAAGTGCACACACACCCCTGCTGACCCATGCACAGCCTCTTCTAGCCTTTGTTAAACTTTTCCAAATGAAAAGAATGAAGTTTGAAAGTAGGGCACCTTCTGCTGCATCAGAGCAGATTCCTGGAAAAGGGTCCAGGGTGGAAAAAAGAAAGAAAGGAAGAAAGCAGGGCACTTGTCTTGTGTCTGGGAACCAGAGGAGGATCTTCCCCGGCCGGCCGCGGGGACACACATGAGTCCAGGGTGGAGGGGTGGGAACGTGTGATTGGAAATTTACAACATACAGTATGTTTAAAGGAAGGACACATTCCTTTATTGTCAGAGACAACACAAGGACAGAAAGGACAGATGGCCTCTGGCTCAGAGATGCACCATAGGAGAACAATAGCTCCATCCCTGAGGAGGGGTGATTAACTCGGGTTGTTTCATTCGGCTACAGGGCTTCAGACATGTGACATTTGCATGTAAATGACTGACTGTATGTGTGCTTTCATCTCTGGCATGATTTTCTGGAAGGATACTTCCTGTTGTGAGATTGAGCTGTGCTTACAGTAGTGGAACGCTGCACACACACACACACACACACACACACACACACACACACACACACACACACACACACAGACAGTGAGCACAGGTGTGACACCGTGCTCTCCACAGTCACTTCCAGTTCCCAGTGTGAAGGCGGGGCAGCGTTCCTACGGTTTAACCTGTAATGCTGCCTTGCTGGGGGCTAAACACCTGTGTTGCACTCACAGGGTTGTGTGTGTGTGTGTGTGTGTGTGTGTGTGTGTGTGTGTGTGTGTGTGTGTGTGTGTGTGTGTGTGTGTGTGTGTGTGTGTGTGTGTGTGTGTGTGTGTGTGTGTGTGTGTGTGCGTGCGTGCGTGTGTGTGTGTGTGTGTGTGTGTGTGTGCGTGTTTCCACACCTATCAGGTCAGGCGTATGGGGCACCTCCACATTGACAAACATTACAATAACCCTTCTCTGAGGGTGTAACATGACAGGAACACACACACCTACACCTGTTGCACCTGTGCTGCCTTATGTGGGCCACATGAAAAGATTCCCACTCCCAGGTGGAGGAACTTCCTGCTGCCTCTATGCTGCTTGACAAACAGAAACAACAAACAAGAAGGGAAACTTGAGCTGGACCCAATCACAGCTGAGCCAGCCAAAACTGTTAAGGTGGGTCTCAAGTGTCAAGAGCGTCAAGAGTAAGAAACAAAAACTCCCCGAGGCCCAAATAACTTGATTATAGCAGCACCACAATCAAAACAATAGTGGCGGCTCCAATCTGTTCACTGTCAATGGTGCCTCTCATTTGTCAAGCCCATCCAAGAAGTTGGTTCTCAGGCGACCTGCACAATACCCAGACAAACAGGAGGGCTCTCCTTTTTAGCCCTGCCTGCCACCGGGAAGCCCATCTGAAGTATTAATCTTTGGTGGAAGAGAGGGCTCAGCCTGGCCCAGCCATTGTCCCCTGGCCTGGGCCCTCTGAATGGGGCTTTGTCAGCTCACCAGCTGCCACTGTCCACGCTCCATCTTTGGACTTTGGCTCCCATGTCCCCTGGCCGTGCTGACTGGACGCCTCTGTGCAGCTGTGGGGATGTGCGTGGTTTTTGTGTGTATAGGATGGACAGAAGGGTCAGGTGGCAAGCCATTTGTCTCACAACACACAGAGGAACACAGCACAAATATGTGGCTTAAAGCAGGGTCTAACTGGCCATTTCAGAGTGGTGCTTTTGGTTCCCATGGAGCTTTAGAACAACAGAGTCAATCCGTATCCCAATAACAATCTTTGGAAATCTAAAATAAAAGAGAACTTTAGGAATCCCCAATTTTTTTGGTCTCCTAAACATCTAAATCACAGCACACGAGCAGCATGTTTAACCCTCATTAGCCCATCCAGGCTAACAATAATGCCACAGGTGTAAATCAGAAAATGAGTGAGAACTGAAGCCCTTGTCCTCCATCTTCTTCTCACAGCAGGGGGCAGCCAGCCAGTAGCATTCAGATCTGTCCCCTGTGGGTATCTTCTGGCTACCAGCTGGGAACAGCTGGTCTCCCCTTCTGCTACTTGTTCAACCGCGCCTGCTGGAAGTCCTGCAAAAAGCAGGGTCTTATGTTTCTGACAGACAGACGGCATTCACTCAAAGACAGGTCATGCTAACGAAGAGGAAGCTTCACTAGCCTCCTAAGAAACATCCCAGATGAACCTGCAGCGTGGAGTCGTCTTCTCATTGTTGCTGGGGCGCGAAGGTTTGCTAGTCCTCGTGATTTTCCAGGTTGTTAAGATTAAACAGTTAAATAAATCATAGGAGACACGCACGGGGATGTTTGAGAGGTGAAACAAACTTTATAGGATTTACAGAAAGTGTGCAACAATTGTTTAACCTAAATGAGGCAGGTGCATACATTTGGACACTGTTGTCATTTTATTGATTCCAAAATATTTAGAACTATTTATTGGAACTCAGAATTGGTTTGGTAAGCTCGATGACCTTTGACCTCCTTACACAGCTGAATCATATCATGAGAAAGTGTATTTAAGGGGTAAATTGTAAGTTTCCCTCCTCTTTGATTACTCTCTGAAGAACAGCAACATGGAGGTCTCAGAACAACTCTCACATGAGCCGAAAACAAAGATTGTTCTCCATCGTGGTTCAGGGGAAGGATCCAGAAAGCTGTCTGAGAGATTTCATCTGTCTGTTTCCACAGTTAGGAACATACTGAGGAAATGGAGGACCACAGGCACAGCTCATGTTAAGTGAAGAATGGTGAGAACAGCCAGAGTCAACCCACAGACCAACACCAAAGATCTACGGCATCATGTTGCTGCAGATGGAGTCACTGTGCATCGTTCACCCATTTGGTGCACTTTACACAAGGAGATGCTGCATGTGAGAGCGATGCAGAGGAAGCCTTTGCTCCACCCACAGCACCAACAGAGCTGCTTGAGGTCCGGACAAGCCCGTTTCATACTGGAATAAGGTGCTGTGGACTGATCAAACTAAAACTGAGATGTTTGGGCAGAACAAGAGGACGTATGCATGCACAGCATACGTAGCATTTCAAGAAAAACACCTGCTACCTACAGAAAAACATGGTGGCGGTTCCATCATGTTGTGGGCTGTGTGGCCAGTGCAGGGACTGGGAATGGGGCTGAACCTGCACCAGGGCTAGATCTTTCAACAAGACAACGACCCTAATACTGCTCTCTATAGTAGAAGTAGAACGTTCTTGAATGGCCGTCTCTGTCCCTAGACCTGAATGTTATTGAAGATCTGTAGTGTGAGTTAAAAGAAGCCATCAAACCTGAATGAACTGGAAATGTTTTGTGGAGGAGAATGGTCCAAAATATCTTCAACCAGAATCCAGACTCTCATCGGAAGCTTTAGGAAGAGTTTAGAGGCGGTCATTTCTGCTAATGGAGGCTCTACTAAATACTGACCATTTCTTTTTGTGGTGCCAAAATGTATGCACCTGTCTCATTTAGTTTAAACAATTATTGCACCTTTTCTGTAAGTCCTATAAACTTTGTTTCACTTCTGTAACATCGTCACTGTGTTCCACCAAAATGGAGCAACACCGACTGGTGCGAGGGCTGATGGTTACAGCACGGTTTAAATGCAGTTGTCATAAAAAATAAAATAAAAAGAACGGGAAACAGCAGGTTAGCCTTGGTGTGAGAGTCATCGCTATGGAGTCACCCGTGGAGATAAGGTGGGGGCTTTATTTATGCTACACGTACAGATATGTCAGGTGTTTGGACGGGCGCAACAACAGCATCAACATCACATCCTGGTTATCTCGGTGTGATGGTTAGGGTTAAGGGTCATCGTTCCAACAGCCGGGGGGGGGGGGGGGGGGGGGGAATGACCAGGTATTCACAACATTTCAACCAAACCCGAACACACACCCCAACCAAAGCTCGCTCTCCCTCTCTCTCCCTCCCTCTCTCTCCCTCTCTCTCTCTCTCTCTCTCCCTCTCTCCCTCTCTCTCTCTCCCTCTCTCTCTCTCTCTCTCTCCCTCTCTCTCTCTCTCTCTCTCTCTCTCTCTCTCTCCCTCTCTCTCTCTCTCCAGGCAATTGTCACTGGAGTGGAAAGTATTCCAGAGCACAATGCCTGTGCTCTCAATGGGTGCTTTAGCATGCCACCAGTGCACTGTCACCAGCAGATGGGGAGCTAATTAGAAGCCTTTAAGGGGCTTTGATAGTGTGTGTGTGGGAACTCGGCGGAGGGAGATGGCCACAGGGTGTAAAGGAGGGGTGAATACACACACATGGGCAGAGACAGAGAGAAAGCAAGCTGTCCCTGCAGCTCCTCCCCAGCCAAGGCCGTTCAGCAAAGGGCACCTGTGGGGCTTCAAGGATCTCTGAGAAGTTCAGCCGTCAGATGGAAGTGGTGTCCCTGAAGTCAGCCTCAGGATCTCAGAGAAGGGCACGTATCCACCCGCCCCGTCTGCTGCAGCAAGGCTCCAGTCAGTCTGCCCTGCTGATGACACATCTCTGAACCAGGACTCCCACAGGAAGCCAGTCCAAACCACCGGCCCTCAGTCATTACAGAACCCATGGAGGTGCCTGGCCCGAGGAATCCAAACACAAACGTGCACAACACACACCCGCCGAGCTCAGACTACTGTTCTCAAGCCTTTAGCTGCTGCTGAGACTCTGGTGTCGCCAGTCAGTCATCACGCACATGTGACACAGTGGTGTGGTGAGTTTTTCTGCATCTGACACCACGCTCACCCCTCCCACTCCCATATGAGCCGCTCCACACACCTGCACACAGGTGTGATCATTATCGAGCAAACAGGAAGAGCCTGACTGGGAACTGGAAACTAATCCTGCAGCTGCGAGGAGATGACCTGAGTGTGTGTGTGTGTGTGTGTGTGTGTGTGTGTGTGTGTGTGTGTGTGTGTGTGTGTGTGTGTGTGTGTGTGTGTGTGTTAGTAGAAATTGTTGAAAACTCCTCCTCACATAATCAAAACCCTTTCTTGTTTCTTTCCAACATAAACTCCCATCAGAGAGCTGCTTTTTTCTGCTTCAGCATCTTGATGCTCTGCTCACTTTCATGTTTCAGGAAGCAGAATGAGCTTCACTCATTGTTCTCACAGCGGTAATAACAGCAGCAAGAGTGTCTGAGCGTTGCTGGAATGTCCCGTTTCCTGTGAGTGAATTCCTGCAGCAACAGCTTGCCTCCTGTCTTCCTGGAGCTCTCGCTTTTGTGATTGTTGCACACTAATAACTACATAGAGGAGATAACAGTGAAAGCATCCCCCTACACCAAGAATAACATCTAAAAGTGGCTACTGGGAAACGCTGCTGGCACAGATAAAACCAAAAGACACACGTGTAGCCTTTCAGCCATTTGATGGATGTGTGATGTTGCAACAGCGCTTGCACAAACAGTAGGCTGTCTGTGGCAGCAGCAGAAGTTATGATCGACCCGCTGGGAGAATCCAGTGTGGAGCTGAGGGAGGGCACTGCCATCCTGTCAGCTCAGATCAGGAGCTAATATGTTTCACTTTTTCTCTCCCCTCCTCTGCCTCTTCTTCCTCCCCTCGCCTTGATGTGCTGTAAACAGGCTAAAAAGGGCCCAGCTGTGTAGAGTTATTGTTGGTGTCAGTAGGAAGTGCTGATAGCTTTTGCAGCTGAACAAAAGCTGGATGAGGGGAGTGGAGGGGCGCTCCAGACACTGTGGCTCCAGCCTAGATTCTCTCCCACAATCCCTACACCGCACTCCCATTGTTCTGCCCACCCGGCCTTCCCTCCGCCCTGTCAGCTGCGACCTGGAGCAGAGGGCAGAGAGAGAGAGAGAGAGAGCGAGAGAGAGTGAGAGAGAGAGAGAGAGAGAGAGAGAGAGAGAGAGAGAGCGAGAGAGAGAGAGAGTTTTCAGAAAGGTTTTTACAGGCTACTGCAACATCTGTGCACTTTTCCTTATGTGCACTTACATATGTACAAAATGAATAAGTAAATAAGTATATTATATGTATATATATATATATATATATATATATATATATATATATATATATATATATATATATATATATATATATATATATACTGGTGGTATGGAACAAAACTCAAATGAATTCATCTATTCAGTAGAACACATTTGCTTTAAGGGTTGGTGTTCCTTCTTTCTTTTTGCACCACCTGTCAGAGTTTAAGTCCAAGATCTGACTTTATGTTGAGCATCTTTTTCCTTTTTTATTTAATTTTGTTTTTTGCTGCCACGTGGGTCTTCACTGCCACAAACACTCCAGACTTGAAAAAGTCCATTTTTTTTCTGTCGGTGTTTTGGTCTCAGTAATAATTTTGCTAAAACTTTACAGAGAGATCCAGAGTCAGAGAGTCCCCATCTGTGACATCACACACATGGAAATTTGCACAGAATCGCCTCTCACCTGGAGAAGAGCCGCTGCTGCTGGAAGAGCAGCGGCTCTTCTCCGAGCCCCTCCTGAATATTGGAGCTTCTCAGCTTATAGCAGCCTGAGCTGGGCTTGGTGGGCGTGGCCAGCTCCAGCTTGTTTTCTTTAAGTGACAGAGCCCTAAAACGGCTCATTCTGGAAGGTACTGAAAATGTCAAAGGTAAAACTGCTGAGATTGCTTCTGTGAGAGGGATTTAATGGAAAGAACATGTTTGGTGTCGGCCATAGAACAATCGAGATACGACCCTTTGAGTCTTCATGAAAGTTGAAACAGTCTGTGGGACTTTAAAATGATCTACCTGCGCCCTGAAGAGTCATACCAGCTTTGGTCTTTTGATCTTTAAAACAACATAAATAGGTAAAGTGGATGACAATAAGCAAAACTATTTTCTGTTGATATTCTGAGAGTTCAGCCTAATAAAACTTTTGTTTGTAGAAGTTTTCCTTCATCTTTAAAGGAGATCTGGGAGCTGAGTGGAGCTTCAGGAACCACAGGGACAGATTTAGTAGTGAAAGTGGGCTGACTGGAGGAATCCAGCGGCTGTCTGTGTGAGAATGTGGTAACATCATAATAAGGAGTCCTCCTCCTCCTCCTTTGTCGCTCCGCTGTTACCCGGCTGTCCTTTACTCTGCAGGTGCGGGGCGGTAATCTCATCCCGCCGCTTTAAGGTGATAAATGGAGGAGAAAAGGTTCCAGAGCCAGTTTGTTCTCAGGATCCTCCACGCAGGTGAATGGAGGAGCGCGAGCTTCCTTGTTTGACATCTCCATAGAGACCGCCCGAGCGGCGCCAGGCTGACAGGCGTCAGGGCTCGGATGAATGGGTGACGTCACCACGCTGGCGCCTGCCAGTCTGCTCGGGCTTGTTTGGACAATCTGGGAGGAGGGAGGGAGTGATGTGATCTGAGTGTGCACACATGTGAAGGAATCTGCTGCGTTCTGGGAGAATAGACAGTTTTGAGTTCTTCTGCTGGACACATTCAATGTTTAATAACCAGGGAAGTGAAATCAAGCCCCGCCCCCAACAGGTTCACCTTCACCTTCCCCGGTTACTGTCCCTTTGTCCGCCACATCTGCAGCACCAACTATTGTGAGAAGCAAATCTGGGGCACTGTGGTAGCCTAATTGTCAGCGCCATTCATCCCATTCACTCCGTCCCATCCCACACACCCTACCCGGCATGCACCGCCCACCCTCCGTCCCCAGGCAGTCTACACCTGCAGAGTACCCAAGCCGCGGACAGCTGGATTCCCACATATTACCCATAAAGACACACATTTGTTTCCATTTGTAACGCCATCCTTCTAACAGATTGTAAAGTCTGATAACCAGTCGCGCATCCTCATTGGCTGAGAGAGACGCACAGCACCGCCCTGTCAACACAACCGCACATCTCTCATTGGTTGACTGCTTCAAACTGGACCGCGCAGCCACGCCCCCTGCTGCTGCATGCCTATAAACCAGAGGAGGTTCCTCCATGTCAACTAGACAACTGTCAACACTGACTGAGAAGATCTCTGAGAGGAGAATACTCTTGACTTACGCCTCCTAATCAGCACAACATGAAGGTTGTTGGATCTACCTGTGCCCTGAAGACCAAGGTCGGGGGAGAGATCGGCCTGTCCGAGCAGAGCCTCGCCATCTCCAAGTGCAAGATCCCGCTGCTGGACGAGCAGATGAGCGTCTTCCTCCAGGACATGAACAGCTGCTACAGCAAGCTGAAGGAGCTCGTGCCCACCCTGCCCACAAACAAGAAGGCCAGCAAGGTGGAGATCCTGCAGCACGTCATCGACTACATCTGGGACCTGCAGGTCGAGCTGGACGAGCCGGAGAAGAGCCGCCAGCACGCCGTCAGCGGCGCGCCGCGCACTCCGCTCACCACGCTCAACTCGGAGCTCGCCAGTATCTCAGTGGAGGTAAACATCCAGTCAGTCACACCTGTGGTAACATACCTGCGTGGCTTACGTTTAACGTTTAAGTCGATGCGCAACATGCGTGCGTAAAAGCTGGTTCGCCATCTGTGACAGATCATAGATTCAGTGTGTGTGTGTGTGTGTGTGTGTGTGTGTGTGTGTGTGTGTGTGTGTGTGTGTGTGTGTAGACTACATGTTCTAACCTCCTGGTGTTTTCCTTCTCCTTCCTGCAGAACGGATGCTCGGACGACAGGATAATGTGCCGCTAAGATCCAGTGGAGCACCTCCCCATCATCCCACCGTCTGCGCCCGCCAACCAGAACCGACAAGGCGACTTGATGTGAATCCACATCTAAATCCTGAGCCTTGAACTGTGTAGGGACGTTTGAAACTCCCAACTGTTAGAAAAAGGACATCCTCAGGCCGAGATGGTCTCAACCAGCTCTCGATTCCTCCGAGGGCTCCTGGGACCAGAGGAGCACCCGTGGTGTCCAGATGCAGAAGACAGGGTTAGTCCGGGGGACCAAGACAAGTCCAGAGCAACCAGCGCTGCTCGTAGAGTTTTACGTCTCTGTTACACTCTGTATAATCACGTGTACATCATATACAGATCTCAATATTTTGTGAAAGGAAAGCTATTTCTCAGATTCCTGAGCGACCAAACTGTATTGTATATTACAATGCCATATATGTGAAGATATTGTTTCTTGCAATGTACTTTATTTGCGTTTTTATTAAAACAAGAACACTATTTTTGAACAAGAATGCCCGTGTTGTGTCTGTTGATATGAAACCAGAAGGAGAATGAGACAGATGATGTAGTTCTGAGGCTAACTCTGACCTCTGCTGTCAGAAGCTGCAGTCATCCAGGTGCCACCAGGCTTCAGCTGCAGGTAGACTAACATAAAGGCTGTGCGGGTCCCTACAGCACGGTGTCAGGTCAGGGGGAGAGTTTGTCACTAACCAATGCATTAATTTCAGACGTGATAAATTAAACATTAGCTCAAGCGTTCATAAAATGCTCGGTTTAGGGGTAAACACCGTGAAGCGGAGTCCCCGCCGGCTCCGCGGGGGTTAAAGCGGCTCTGGTGTGGAGATTTATTCCGTCTCCCTGGTGCGATGTTTTTCCCATTTCCCTGCGGTGCGATGCGCACAGCTGCAGCCCGGCGTGGCCAGTGCGTGATTGTGTTTGTGTGATAGCTTTGTGCCAAGGGCAGGGGAGGGCGGCGGGGCCCAGACTGAGCGGCGCCGCGGCACACCTGGGGAAGTTCAGGTTAAATAGCTGCACATTCCTCAACACACAGCTGATTGAAACATTAACAAACAGTAATCCACGGGCCAGGCCGCAGATGGGCCGGGAACCGGGCCAAACACACACACACACACACACACACACACACACACACACACACACACACACACACACACACACACACACACACACACACACACACACACACACACACACACACACAGGGTAGAGATTCCCACACAGCTAGCTCTCATGTGTTATACACACTATGTGGTATGGAAGGCAGCTACGTCATTTAACACGTGTAAATCCATGAGTTATTTTGTTTTTAGATAAAACTAAATGTGAAGGAAACGCTACGGCCGTCTTCATAACGACTCTACATTTGATTGTGTACTGAAAAATAAAACGAAGCATTGATTTTAGTATTTTTTATTTTAATATTAATATTTATTTAATTTCCTTATTCATAAAACTTACTCTTTTTGCTTCCTCTCGTTCGCTGCGCCCTCTAGGGGCGCTAAAGAGAATTACAGCCATTTTCTGCGTTTATGAGACTAGGCGGACAGCAGCACCCCCTGCTGGCCACGCGGAAACATTTTCCAGCGTTAAACTGTGTGTGCACACCTGGGCAAAGCCCTACAGGAAACCGTTGACCTCTGAAATGACAAACAAAGGCTTCCGGACCAAGTCACGTTTCCTCAGGTGTTCAAACACTTCTGTGCAATACAAACGAACTCTTTAAAAACCATAAAATGTGGTTTCCTGGTTTATTTTTAAAAGCTCTCTCAGTAGGAATGCACCATCATTGTGAATTTCAGACCCCTCCAGGACACCTCTGTTCCTCGCTGTAGCTAGAACACTTTGTGTAGTTTAAGAATGAGTGTTCCTGGTAGGATTTTATTCAGGCAGAGTGGGGTTTGGGGCATGTTAGTGCTCCACATCCAAGGAGATAGTTAATCTGAATTCTGTGCTGCAGTGGATTCTGCAGAAGCCAAGCCTGTCAAACCAATAGGCACACATCCCATAATAGGTTGTGTCCTTGTAGTAGAGCATCCTGAGCTGATCCTAATGGGGAGGCCATGGTTTGTGCGATTCCTGTCCGTTGGTCTAGGACTGCAGCATAGATTCCTGCAGCAGTTAAGAGTTCAGGGATTAGGATCAGCCCAGAGGTCCCAACCTGTCACTTGAGGAAAATCCCAGGAAATTCCCAATGGGAGTCCCTGATAAGCCGTTTGGATTGATCAGGAACCGTGCAGCATGTGTGAATCTACTTATGAGTGTTTGTCACTGTTACCGTGGTAAATTCATGGTGTTCAGCAACACATGGAAGGCACTTTATAAATAAAGCTTTGATTGATTGACATGAAATCATTTTATATCATTTGGAAGATTTGATATTTTATTTATGGCAAATTTAATGAATTATGTTTGTTCAACTATTTATGAATTCAGTTCTGAATTTTATTAATCACACATTTAATTGAGTTTATTCATTTATTTATTGTCCCTGAAAACTCCGAAGGAAAAGCACAACCACTAAAATCTGCCCCTGAATGAACCTTGCATTGTGATGATTTAATCTGATTAAAATTACCAGTGATTTTTACTTGCGTCCAACCCAAACAACCGTCTGTGACTACATCTGGGCTGGAACCGGAACCGGAGCCCTGACTTATGGGCCATTCCCATCTGTACCGGGTCGGCCCGGGCCGGGTAGCCCTAGTCGGCTCCAGCCTGGCCCGGTTGATTCCACACATCCTTGTCTTAAGCCCATGTGGGCTGATTCTACCCACCAATCAGAGGCTTGCTCTAATGGAAGGTGTGAATTTGCTGTCAGCAGTGGGTGTGTTGGCCCTGGTCGGCCTGAAGCAGACCCCCTCGAGAAGAGGGCTGAGGATGAGCCTTGGTTGGCCCGGAAAAATACCAGGCCACCTAGATATGTAAACAACCTACGCTACCCTGCCCGGGCCGGCCCGGTACAGATGGGAATGGCCCACTAGTGTGGAAGACCTGATGCTGCCGGGGCAGACGGCTCCTCTGATGGCGTTTCCTTGCTTACCTTACTTGGCTCATCTGGACTCAGCCAAATATAATTTTTACTTGTGTGTGTGTGTGTGTGCGCGCGCGCGCGCTTGCTTATGTCTGCTAACGTTTTGTTTGAAAAGCGCTTTATAAATAAATCTGATCTGAACACCACGACAGTAGACGATGACCACACAGTTCAGCCCAACGAGGTTTTAATTATAGAGGTAATCATTATGAATAGGTTACATAAATCCACTGAAATAAAAAACATCTGAGATTTATTTTTGACCAGTAGTGTCCCATTTATTTACTGGGGGGGGGGGGGGGGGGGATAGACTGGTACTGGAACCAGCCACTAGGGGCGGTAGAGCTTTATTTGGCTTGTTTCTGGTTAGATATTCATTCAGAAATGATGAAAACCTTTGGAAACAAAAATATTAAAATGTTACAAGTGGTGTGGGGAGGGTTGCACAGATGATTAATAATAACAGCTGTGGCTTCAGTGTAGCTCATCACCATGAAAGCACTGTAAAGCAGCATCATGATTATACTGAAGCTTTATGGCAGGAATTCTGCTTCATGATACTTAAGCAGGTTATTTTTGACTAGAGGAGGTTTACAGAAGTAAATGACTTATTCTAATATTCTGACTCATCTCCAAGCAGTGGAGTTAACGTAATACTCATGTATACCCATGATGATGTGAGATAGCAGCTAGCATCACGCTAGCAGTAAAGACCGCCGTGGAGGCGAGAGCAGGTAGCAGAAACGAGTCTGTGTGAAACAACAGGTCTGGAGTCAGGAGTGTTTAAATATAAATTTGTATTTACATGAATATCAACATCAACAGAACAATTCTGTAATATACATCCTGTAAAACATCCGCTCATCTCAGCTTCAGACGAGCTAAAACCAAACATCTCCTGTAGCTCTACAAAGTTCATTTTCCTCAAAGTAACAAATTCTGGACATAAAATCATGTCACCTTCTAAAAAATAGATGAAAGATTGATATGCTTCGTTCCACAGGTTTTACCTTAGAGTAAAACCTGCTGCTGAGGTTCTGGTCCTCCTCCCAGCATCCAGAACCATCCTAGACTTTGTACAGACCCATGATATGTACCCATTACTGTTTGAATAAACACACATCCTGTAATAATATACACCAGAAACCTCTAACTGTACACAGAAGTGAAAACATCTTTGGATTGTGCATGTTTGAAAGGTAGATTGAGCTAACAGTCAAAGTAAAGGCCGTCTACAGGATCAGCATTCTCATCACACCGCTGCAGACCGACTTCACAGCTCCTCTCTACAGAACCTCTTCGGAAACTGGGTCCATTTAAAAGTGCCTCGGTTAGAACATGAAACAGAGTTTAGGAAACAAAAACAGAAAAGCTCAAATGTTCTGACAGCGCTGACCTACGACACGCAGAAACTCACCCACGGCCCAGGTGTGGACCTTCTAAAGGCTGGCTTTGGTGAATATTTACAGTTGATGACAGAAGACACTGAGATGTCTAATACTGCAGTACCATTGCTCTGTTTTAATACAAATGAAGGTGCTCTAAAGCAAAGAGACAAGAGTTATTGCTCTGATCTGAGAAACATGACCAGTAAACTGTGTGTGTAGCTTTAAACGACTTTAACACGAGGCGCATTCAAAAGCAAACCAAACCAGATCAACGTAAAGGTGTCCAATCTGCAGAAAGGCTGTGATGATGAAAACATGTCGCACCACTTTTATTCTCCCCAAAACACAAAAAGCTTCCTGGTAAAGTGCAGTCGTCAGTCGTACCGCAGTCCGGTTAGCTAGCCGGGGGTGCTGAATGCAGCCCGGCAGCTCCCAGTTGGAGACACACACACACACACACACACACACACACACACACACACACACACACACACACACACACACACACACACACACACACACACACACTTAATCCTGATTCATGCTTCTCCGTCAGCTCTAGGGATGGGTACCTTTGACATTTGAATCGATACCGGTACTTAACGGTACCAATTTTTGATACTTTTGAATGTTTAATATTTTAATTCACTTTTATAATTAAATATATATTTTTCTCAATACATAACAATATTTGTTAATATCACAATAAATAACATACAACTGTTTGTATTTTAACATCGTCCTTGTAGTTTTATAAGCTGATAATTAAACTGAAGCAAACATCTTTACTGTGAACTAAATTTACCGTGAATCTTCATTCCTTTTGCCGTCCTTTTTCATTTGATTTTTCCTACCGGGAAGTTAGAATTTCCGAGGAGAAAGCGAACGCACCATTAGCTGATAACAATGGTAGCAATGGAAGCTAACATATCAAGCTAACGTTATCTTAAACATTTTATTTACCTACCGGAGCAGATTAAGATGAGGATGTCTCACTTAGATCGTTGTCTGTCGCTGGTTTCATCATCACCCAGTTACCCATCACATTTAGTGAAGTGGACCCAAGCTTTAGCGTTCGTTCTTTCTACCATGTTGCTCTGTTTACAACTCGCTCGCAGCGACCGACGACATAACGCTCTTGTGCATGCGCAGCTGTCTTGGCAAGTTCTTGTTATGAAGGACGGGTACCGAAACGAGGCACCGTTTGAAATGACGTGAATCGCTGCTCGGTCGGTACTATGGAATTCAGTCGGTACCTTAAAAAGTACCGAATTCGGTACCCATCCCTCGTCAGCTCCGCAAGGGACAGACACGCACGGATTGATGGAAGCGTTTTGCTCTCATACTTCTCCGTCTCCTGGGGAGTGTTGCAAAGCAATTCCCCGGCAGGACAGCAGAGGGCATAGTGCTGTTCTCTGGTATCCTGTCATGCATCCGGTCCAAGATAGTGTGTTTATATTGTGTTTTTTGTATAGAAGAGACTTTTAACATGTACAAATTTGTCTCTCATTCTCCTCCACCTCTTCATGCGCTCGCCACCTCTAAACCCACGTTTCCTGTCATTTCCGTCCACAAATAAAATGCTTGCTGCGCATCTTTTCACTCCTCCAGTCACGGGGAATTAAACGTTCATATTTTAGAGTTTTTTTCGCGAGGTATTCTTCAAGCTTCTCTGTGTCTGCCGCTAGTTATCCTCGGCTCTCTTTATGTTTTTGAGGCCGCGATGGCGGCGGTGCAGACAACAGCAGTGCCCTGACCAATCACAAGCTTGCGTTGTCCGTCTCGACGGACGGATGTTTAAAAAAGTGGGCTCGACTCCGTACGTCCTTGCGTGCCTGCCGGGGCCCTACGCAAGGACGGATAATGGCGTTGCGTGTCTCCGCACTGACGCAGAAGCATGACTCAGGCTTTACACACACACACACACACACACTTTGTGTTTGTGCTTCCAAGGCTAGAACCTGCGCTGAAAACCAGCACCAACTGGTCTGTCATTGCTGCTGGGTCTTCCATGTCACAGTCTTTGCAGGGGGACTCCTACTGTGTGTGTGTGTGTGCGTGCGTGTGTGTGGCTTTAACTCTGGTCCAGTCCACTCCAGCCACGGATCCTCAGCAATACTTCTGCAGACACACACCAGGAGTTGGATCAGAAGTGTCCTGTACACGTCTAGAAAGATTCAAACCAAAGTACTACCCACCTGGTCAGGCCCCATCGACATTCTGCCCATTCCCACGGGGTTCATGCCCATCTGTCCCTGCATCTGCGCCATCGGCCCTACACCAGAACCCCCGACCGGTCCAGATCCACTCATGGTGTTATTCATCATCATGGGTCCAAACTGGCCCTGGCTGCTCTGCTGGGGGAACTGCTGCTGAGGATAGGGGCTGAAGAAACAAGGTCACACGTTTAGAAACTGACACCAAGGTTTAGCATTCCTGCCATCACCTGCTGCCGTTCCCTAGAGTTTTGAACTAAAACACGAGTCCTTTTTGGCCAAATCGTTAAAACACAGTGACCCGTTAGCAGTCAGAGGATGAGTCGGTGCCTCTGCCTCACTAACAAACCATCCTGTCGCTGACAGTCACGTCTGTGTTTACAAAGGTAGAGCAGCAGCTTCCAGATGTTAATCACTGTACATCTGTGAGAGATGTTCATTAAAATCCATCTAACACACACACACACACACACACACACACACACACACACACACACACACACACACACACACACACACACACACACACACACACACACACACACACACACAAGTCTGCTGTGATACACACCTGTTCCGAGCCATGACCCCCTGCTGCCAGCCCTTCATGTCTCCTGAGGGATACATGTGTCCTCCCTGGGGGTTCGCCTGCATCCCTGGCATCATGGCGCTTTGTGGAGGACCGGACATCCGTCCTTGCATCATATTTCCTGGTGGACTGCTGACAGGAGCCATGTATGACGGGTCCCCCTGCTGGTTCATTCCTGCATGTACAAACAAAACCTGAGCCTCTCCTGTGGGTAGAAACCCCACAGCCCCCTGGCTCCTTCTCCACCCACTCACCATAGTTACCTCCATAGTTGAAAGCCTGCTGCCCAGGCTGATTCATGGGGGGTGCTCCCAAGGGGCTGCCGATGCCTTCTGGTGCTGTGACATTAGGGGGAGGGCTGAAACCTCCAGCTGCTGCCTGCTGCTGCATCAGCATCATCATCCTCTGCTTCCGTATCTGCATCTGCATGGTGTGCTGAGTCATCCTCTGGGCTGTCACAAAATCAGGCTGCAGACGGACACAACATGTGATGTTACTTTCTCCCTTTAACCAGGAAGTCTCCATTCAGGTGCATGTCTGCTTCCAGAAGGTCGGGACAGGACCCTGTCAAGAAGAAATCTGCTGATTCTGTTAGGGACTGATCAGACACGTTTACAGGCAAAGCTGGGGCGTAAATGTCCGGGTTCATTCCCAGACCTGGTCCCTAAACAGACCTGGTCCCTAACCAGACCTGGTCCCTAACCAGACCTGGTCCAGACCTGGTCCTTAACCAGACCTGGTCCCTAACCAGACCTGGTCCCTGACCAGACGGACCTGGTCCCTAACCAACATTTTCAGGGGCAACAGGACCATGTGATCGTCAATGACGCAGTTTTTTGCAGCACATCTGACTGACCTGGGATCTGTTGTGTCAACTAGAGATGTCACAGTTTCCAGTGCAGTGGAAAACCCCGGTAGAGACGTTGACAACAATTACGCCTTGTTTAAAAAATAATGATCTTGGTGGAGTACCGTGGCCGCGGTGGCCCTTACCAGCCACCGTCTCATCTGCTGAAGTTGCCACACATGCACTCTTTGTAGTTTACAACCAAAACTTGCTTGAAGATGAGGCTGAAATAATGGCTGAAGGAGGCAGCGCTCGGGACATCTATCAGCCCTCAAAGACAAAAACGGAGGTATGGGCATATTTTGGATATTTGAAGAATGCTGGGGACAGTTGATAGAAGACGGCTATGCTGTTTGCAGCACGTGCCGAAAAAAATGTCTGCGAAAGGCAGCAACGCTTCGGATCTCATGACACATCTGCGTGACCATCACCCACAACTCTACAGTCAACGCAAGGCAAGCTAACGTTAGCGTTTTAGCTGAAATGAAGCATGTGAGGACTCTGAGTGGAGGAAGAATGGAATGAGTTTCCCTATAGTGCAGCCGCAGCACCCACTGCCAGCATGTAAAATTACAGACCCCTAGTCATCGTCACACACTGGTGAAATTACATCTTCATATTTGACTCATCCCCACGGGGGGAGCGGTGAGCTGCAGCTGTGGCTGTGCTCGGGAACTATTTGGTGGTTTACCCCCCAATCCAACCCCTTAAAGCGGAGTGTCAAGCAGAGAGGCATTGGGTATTACCCAACTGGGAACCTCAACCTCCAGCACCAAACAATGCGTGCTGGTTGGTAATAACTTTAGGTTACTGTCGTAACCCCGGTTCTCTGAGTAACATGAGTGAGATGTCTCACTATGGGATATGCCCCTCCGCGGATTCCTCAGAAGCACTTATCTCAATACGCCAATCCTGATTGGCTAGTGACCGTGACGTACGCGTCACCTGCTACTATAAGTAGCAAGCGTCCCAACGTACGCACTATTCAAGATAAACACCTCTTCTCGCTTCGCCCAGCAAGAAGGGTTGTCTGGTGAGACATCTCACTCATGTTACTCAGAGAACCGGGGTTACGACAGTAACCTAAAGTTCTCTTTCTTAACATTCGTTTCGATGTCTCACTATGGGATATGGAGACTCCCGTATTGCCAGACAGCTTATCCAGCGATCACCAACCTACAAGGATACGTCTTGGCCCGCCAAAGACCCCACACTCAGAATCGTGTGAGTCATTGCAGGGACCGAAACATCAAGCTTATAGAAGCGTGCAAATGCAAGTGGAGAAGCCCAACTTGCTGCAGCACAAATCTCCTGGATTGACAGCCCCCGAAAAAGGGCCCAAGAAGCAGACAGGCCCCTAGTAGAATGGGCCCTGAGCCCAACAGGTGCCTGAATGCCCTGACAGGAGTAAGCCATAGAAATAGCCTCCACAATCCAGTGGGAAAGCCGCTGCTTTGTGACGGGTTTCCCCTTACGAGGCCCACCCCATGACACAAAAAGCTGGTCCCACCTGCGAAGGTTCTCCGTCCGATTCACAAACTCCTTGAGCGCGCGAATCGGACACAGCTTGTGCAACCGCTCCTCCTCAGGAGAGGAGAAGGGTGGTGGGTAGAAAGCTGTGAGGAATAATAGGAGAAAAGGAGCCCACCACCTTAGGCACAAAGGCAGGGTTGGGCTTCACGGACACCTTCATGTCACCTGGTGCAAACTGGGTGCAGGATGGGTGCACAGAGAGAGCCTGTAAGTCACTAACTCGCTTTGCAGATACCAAAGCCAGGAGTAGCACCACCTTAAGAGACAGGATCTTAAGGTCCAGGCCGTCTCTAGGGTCAAATGGAGGCCCGGAGAGGGCCGACAGCACCAAGGACAGATCCCATGAGGGCACCAGGGGTCGAGGCACAGGGAGAAGCCTGCGAGCGCCCCTCGTGAAGCTACACACCAGGGGGTGTTGACCTGCCAATTTCCTCCCAAAACCCAAGTGTCGGGCGGAAATGGCTGCTAGGTACACTTTAATGGTGGAGAAAGCCTTCTTCCCACCCAACAAGTCTTGCAGAAAGACAGAATGACGTTCACCGGGCATTTGAAGGGTGAGACCTCCCTGCCCTGACACCAGGCTTCAAACACCCTCCATTTACAGTCATATAGGGACCTAGTGGAGGGGGCCCTAGCATTCTGAATGGTTCGAATGACTGCCTGGGGCAGCTCTGCTGACACTAGCCCACACCCCTCAGGGGCCAGGCCCACAGGGCCAGCCGTTCTGGATCAGGGTGGAAGATCGAGCCTCCCGCTTGGGACACCAGGTCCTTGCGAAGCGGCAGTTTCCAAGGTTGGCCCTCCAGGAGCTGGAAAATGTCCGCCACCCAATGCATGGCTGGCCAGTATGGGGCCACCAGAACGAGAGTGTGGCGCTGGGTTCGTACCCTCAGCAAGGTGGGTGGTATCAGGGCCACTGGGGGAAAAGCGTAAAGCAGTCCCCGTGGCCAGTCGTGCGCCAGCGCGTCCACGCCGAGTGGAGCGTCTCGGTCGCGCAGGGAGAAGAACAGAGGACACTGAGCATTCTCCTTGGAGGCAAAAAGATCCACTACGGCTGTGCCGAACCGGATCCAAATCTGTTCCAACACTGCTGGATGCAGGCTCCAATCCCCGTACAGGGGTGTCCCTCTGGACAACAGATCCGCCCCCCGATTCAGAACACCCGGGACGTGGGTGGCTCTGATTGAGAGGAGATGCCTGCTGCACCATAGGATCAGTCTGCGTGCCAGCGTGTGTAACCGCATGGAGCGCAGCCCCCCCTGGCGGTTTATATGAGCCACAGTCGTGGTGTTGTCTGTTCTCACTAGGACATGATGGCCGGAGAGAAAAGGCAGGAAGCGCCTCAGGGCCAGAAAGACCGCGAGGAGTTCCAGATAATTTATGTGTGTCCCCCAGAGCTCTCTGCTCCACACACCCCTGACAGAGCGACCCTCCAGGAGCCCCCCCAACCTGACAGGCTTGCATCTGTCGTGACCACTTTCCTCACGAGAACCAACCCCAAAGGCACCCCCTGTGCCAAGAGGGAGGGGTGACGCCAACAGCGGAGCGCTGCGACGCACGCTGCAGAGACCATCACCCTGCGCGCTCTGTGGCGCACTGGAGAGAGACCCAGAGAAGCCACCCAGCGTTGAGAATCTCTCATGTGTAGACGGCCGAGTGGTACCACTGAAATAGCCGACGCCATGAGACCCAAAAGCCTGAGGCATAACGCAAACCGCACCGAACTGTGTAGGCGGAAGCGCGCCAGGCAGAACGAGAGCGTGTTCACGCGCGGTGCCGAGAGACGGGCCGTGAACGCCCCTGAGTCCAGATTCAGACCTAGAAAGGTTGTTTTCTGGGAGGGGAGTAAAGCGCTTTTCTGCCAGTTTATTCTGAAACCCAGACCACACAAGTGATGGATCACAACCAGCGTGTTTGACGCTGCCTCCTCTCTGGACTGTGCCAGCAGGAGCCAGTCGTCTAAATACGTGGCCAGCCGAATGCCCCTCCCTCTCAGAGGGGCGATCGCCGCCTCCGTACACCTGACAAACACCCTTGGGCTCAGCGAGAGGCCGAATGGGAGCACGGTGTATTCGTAACACACTCCCTGAAAGGCAAACCTCAGAAATTTCCTGTGTGGAGGGTACACGGGAATATGAAAGTATGCGTCCCTCAGGTCGATTGAGGTCGTTCTGGTGAATCAGACGCAAAAGGGATGAGAGCGTGAGCATTTTGAATCTGTAATTTCTGAGGCATCGGTTCAGGGCCCTCAGATCCAGGATCGGGCGAATCCCGGTCCCTCCCCGCTTCGGGACCAGGAAGTACCTGGAGTAGAAACCGTTTGAGACCGATCGGGAGGCACAATGCATATCGCTCCCTTCTCCAGCAGGGAGGAGATTTCTCCCTGAAGGATGTGAGCTGATGTCCCCTGGGCGTGGGAGAACACTACGCCGGAGAATCGAGGAGGAACAGAAGCGAATTGGAGCCTGTAACCTATCGAAATAGTTCTCAGCACCCAACGTGAAGCAGAACCCGCTGTCCATTCCTCCATGTGAGTGGAGAGCGGTGACACAGCCGTGACACACGGAGCAGCAGCTCCCTCCAGAGGTTGTGGGGCAGCGGTGCTCGTGGCAGCCACTGCGCATGCGCGGGGGCTTTGTGCTTTGACGGCCCAGGCGTACGGGGACGACCCGTGGCTGGCGGGAAAGTCCGCCAGGGGTCGCCCCCACCTGGAACCGCTCATGGGTGACATTTTTATTGATTTTTGCTGCGCCCTTGACATCTTGTCTGGATGCGACAGCGAACCTTTTAATGCTCCTTGAGCGTGACATGTTTGTGAAAACAATGTGAGTGCTTGTGACGTGTGTTTCGAGCCGGTACCGCCGGCTGCACGTCCTGGCCCCACCCTGGACCGCTCGGGAACTCTGCCGGAGGGGTTCCGTGAGGGGGTAGAGAAAGCACCATGGCAACATCGAACAGGAGGAGCTGGCGAACGGGGAACTGCCAGCTGCAGCGTCGGGAGGGAAGAACTCCGACAGGCTGCCCTCATCTTCCTCCTCACCTGCTGACCGCCGTGTCTGGTGGATTGTCCCGGCGGCGGAGCAGCTGC